GTGGCCATAGTGGGAATGGAAAAATGTGTGGGAGTTGATGAGGATTCTAAGTTGTCTTTCAATTATACGTTTCATTTTTCTCTTCCACTCTCCTTCAGTACCTTCTTACAGCCATGTGAGATGGTTTGTAATCCCATGCCACTGATACACATAAACATCAGAGTAAATCTGAGACATTCAAGGTCACTGTAAACTTCAGAAGTTGCAGGGGTGGTAATAGCACTACAGTAACCACAGTAGCTACGGAGCATCTTGAGGAAGTGAAATGTACATTATCATTGGAGGATTGGGGGCAGCGACAAACAAGGTGGGTTCTGATAAGAAAGAGTGGATTCACCTGGCTTTTCTGGAAAATTCATGCTTGAACTTTATGAGATGGAAACAAGAAAGTGGGCTGTGTCCAGTTATTAAAAGCATCAGAAATAGTGTGAGGTTCTGAGTAGGAAAATGACTAGCAGAAGTAAAAGTGTAGAATGACCAGTTGGGCGTGACAATTGGAAGTGACAGAGAACTGCAGGATGGAACATAAATTAAACTCTCTGAGCTTCATATTCTTCATCTGAAAAATGGGATTTTTCACTACCTATGTCATCAAGTTGCTGTGAGGACTGCAAATATACAATAAATGGTTGTTCTAGATATCAATGTATTGCTATGTCTTATCAAGTTCTGCTTCCCTCACATCATCCAGCCTAGTGTCTCATCTTTTGCACTTTTGCTCATAAAATGAACCCCTACGGTACAACAGCAAAAGTTCAGTGGTAGACCAGACAGTTTGATATGAGCGATCCAAGAAGCAGTCTGAGCTGGGAATTGAATATGAAGAGTATCAGGTTAGTTCACAAAGGAATGTGAATCCATGTGTATGGGGCAACATGAGAAAGCAGGGACTGGGATGAAGCCCCAAATGGGAATGAGATAAAGATAAGCCTGGGAGAAAAGCTGGGATCTGTTCTTGGCAAATTGGTCCCAGAGCTCATTCAACAATAATAGCACCTTAAAATTATATAATCTTAAAGTAATTCATGTTATCAATTATCTTAGTAGACTAACAAGATTCAACTTACTATTTTTAAATTCTGGATTAAAGTCAATGTCATAGAATTAAATTTATTTTATTTTAGCCCCATCCCACTCATAATTTGTTATAAGATCTTTAACAAGCCCATAAAAATCAAGTGTCCCTGTAATTCCCACAAATTTGGTTATATAAAATTGTATAAATTAAAAATTACAGTCCTATTAAGTAGCAGTATAAAATAAAATACATTATCCACTAAGTGATGAAAGTTTTATTACTTTCAAGCAAGGTTTAAACTTGGCCATCTGACTTGCTCTGTTTTGTTTTTCCCAAAAGATCAAAGTTGTCATCTGATACTAGAAAGAATTAGAGATGTAAAGTTCAAACAAAATTCCACAAATCCAAATAACTGCTGTTTGATCTAACCCAAAGGAGTTAACAGTCAAACACTAATTAAATTACCAAAAAATAAAAACCACACAGAATAGATGAAAATTGTATTACTGAAGATGGGACATTTTAATTTTAGTAGAAAGAGAGAAGGAAAAGGAAAGCAAGGGAAGTCAGTAATGATGGAGCCTGGATAACAAAATCAGCAGCAGGGGAAGCAGGAAAAAGGAAAGCGATAAGCAAGAAGGATTCAAATCTGAGGACTGACACACATAATAGTATCAAAACTGATAGATTACCAATGTATAAATTTAATATCTCCCCTGTAGGAGGAAACTGGGGCTCAGAAATCTTAGGTCAATTGTCCCCAGTCCCACAGGCATGGTAGACCAGGATTTGAACTAACTCCAAAACCACACAGAGGAACAGCAGGAAGAAAGACATGTCAATACACCATCATGCATATCGACAGTATATAAGTAGAAATAAATTGTGTAAAATACAAATCTGATCCTTTCAACCACCTGTTAAATTGCTCAGTATTTCCTTTTTGTCTTTAAGACAAAACCCAAACTGTATCGTGTTGGCATCCAAGGTCCTTTAAGATGTCATTGATGGTGTCTGCTCTAATCCTTTTCTTTCTTGCACCTCACACTTTTGGTGCTCTGAATTAGTTACAGTACAAATACCAAACTCTCTTGCTATTGCATAGGCTGTTTCTTCTGTCTGGAATACCCTTCTTTCACTTCCTAACCTACTAATTTTTACTAATTCTTGGAAAAGTATCCTCCTCTAGAAGTCTTCCCAAATGTTCCTTTCTGTCTCCCCCAGGCCACATCAGATAGCCCACCTCTGGTTTTTTTTTTATAAGACTCTGAATCTTCTTCTATCATAGAATTTATTACACTGGAATGAAAGCCTTTTTTTTTCTAAATCCCTTCTAGAATTGCCTTGGACAGGAAGTTTGCCATTTGCTTCTTGTACTCTTAGTACTTAAAAGAATAAAAGAATGCCTGACTGAAGGTATTAAGAACATGATCTAACACCTAAACAATTTTACGATTCTGGTGAAATACGTGCATTTAACTGGATAAAGAGTTAACATATCCCTAAACCTAGGAAGAATAGGAAAATATATTTTTAAATACATATTACCAAAAATATGCAAAATCTTGGGCCCCACTTCAGGGAATACTACAGCTTTTAGAAATGTTACATATTAATAATTTATAAATACAGCATAAAACAAGAGTAATGAAGCCATTTTTCTCTTGTTTAAAAAAAATTCATTAAGTGGTTAGTCTCTACAAGGCATTACAAAAAGAACTTCTAGAAAAGGAAAGCTGACATGAAAGTGTTAAAATGGACACTTTACACACAACAGAAAAAGAAAGTTGGGCAATTCCTCTTGGAGACAAAAGGTCTTCATAGAAGAGGTGATCCTGGAGCTGAACTTTCATTGAGAAAGAAGATGGTTGCCCGAAAGTGAAGAGGAAAAGGGTTATTCTAATTGTTGGGATCAGAGCAAATAAAACACATGACAGTACAAAACAGGAATGTGATTAGAGAGGATGTTAGTGAAGCTGCAGTGAGAGATAAAGGTGAAGTCAAAATTGCATCCTAGAGGCCCCTTGGATGCCACACTGAGGCTCTCAGACTTCATTCTCAACCAGTGACTGACTGATGAGCTTTAATGAGGGAAATCATGTAGATTTTATTTTAGAAAGATCATTCTGACAGCTACATACAAGGTAGGATTAAAAGCAAGGAACCAGTTTATAGGGCTATTCTAACTTTAATGGACATATAAGTCACTGAGGGACTTGTTAAAATGCAGTCAGCTTCAATATGTCTGATTCTGTGTTTCTAACAAGTTCCCAGGGGATGCAAGAGATGCTAGTCTGAGGAGCACACTTTGAGTAGCAAGCAGTTGGAGACCAATTGACTTTGTGTAGGAATAAAATAGCCCTTAAAAGATTTGAAAATTTGATGTAAAGGTAAAGTAAGAGAAAGAGTCTGGGACTCTCTCGGGTTTCTGGCTTGGATAACTGAGAGAATAGTGCTGCCATCTTCAAGAAAAAGGAAGACAGTTTTGAAAGGAAAGATGGTTTATCTTAAATATAATAAACGTGAAGTACCTTCACCCAAACCAAGAGAGCCAGAAGACAATTAGTTGGGATGGGAAGTGAGGATTGGTGTATTATAGGAGAAAACACAAGGATTTTGCAGGCAGACAGACCCAGACATGAGTTTCCACAGTAATATGACATAAACAAATTAAATCAACATTCTTATCCTCTGTATCTCTATGTGTAAAAAGAGACTAATAACAATTTCCTTGGATGTACATTGAAATAATGTATGCAAAAACCTAACACAAGGCCTAGAATATGGCAGGTGATGAACAAATAGTAGCATGTACATAGCTTTGTTGTTCAAGATAGAAAACTTGTGCTTTGTTCCCATTAACGTGGTAATGAAAGTCATTGAAAGGCAATAAGGTGGTGACCCAGGAACCTCC